TCCATCAACATTCTGTAAAACCACTTTGCTTTCCTTCTGGGAATTAGACATTTGCAAAATTTGCAAAAAATTTGCAAAAGGGGGTTTAAGAAGCTCATATGAAGTTGCTACTAACTTCTCTGCAAGCGTTTGAAAATAGTTTACATAACCAGGAGATGAAATGTGAAAAAAGGTTCAGTGGCTTTTTTCTCAGATCACTTGTGCCAATGACTTGTTTATACCTTTTCTAAGGATTTCATACTAAGGGTATGTTCCTTACATATCTTATCAAAAGGGAGTTAAAACTCTCTCTCCTTGATTTCTAGCTTATGTGCCTAATGCCAAGAGAGAAACTTTTACCAGATCAGAGTTGTTGATTGCCATCACTCTGATTTACCTCTCCAGCATGCTGTTTGTATTGCTTGTTACTTAATACACCTGGTCAAGGGACCTAAATATTTAATTTGAAGGAACAGCCTTATTTTAAAGATGTTTGGGGGGGATTGTTGTAAATAACCCCTAAAAATGAATGTGTGCTGAATACTGTTGTGTAAATCCTACCTGCATACTGAAATCTCTTAAAAGGCATAATTGATGAATGAACAAATCTGATATATAAATAAAACTTAATCCTTTTTTTGCAGATCAGACCAATTGGATGTGGATATTTTGTGTTGGAGTATTTTAAATTACACTTGTGCTAGTACCCAAAGTCATGAGAGCTACGGCAAGAATTTACAATGAATTAATGTGTAAAGATATTGGAGTAGTTGTAAGTGTCTTGTAATAATAACCTTGGGTGACTTCAGTTCTTGTTGTCATACCCATGAAGGAAACATTCATAAGTGAATATATAAGAGGAGAATTTGATGGTATTTCCTTGTGTGTTATAAAACTAAGATGTCTTGTAATAGAAGTAAAGGAAGGCTGTGGACCCTGGTGGGAATGTGAGTGGGGGATTAACAAAAGCCTTGTAGCTATGGAGTTAAGCTGGGTCTGTGTTTCCAGTGCCAATGACATCTTGATTTATGCATAATGAGAATGTGTGGTTTTTTTTTTAAACACTGAAGCAATAGGAAATAAGTTAGCCTGCTTAAAGTCTATATTTCCTGTAGGGCTACTTGTCTAACCAGAAGTCAAAGCCAACAGCTTTTTCTAAGCATAATCTTATCACACTCTTCCCCTTGTTAACTTTTTGTCTGTGTTGTCAGTCTGTAAAGCTCTGGGCTTGAAGCTGTCTTTTCTTTCTTCCCTTCCCAAAGCTCCAGAATCTCTCCCTTACAGAAAGAAGTTGGTAATGTGTGCAGAATACCTCCTGCACACATCCTGTTCGCTGTTTTCTTGTCTACAACAGTTCTGTAAAAAATGTAGCTGGAGGAAGTCTCATCCTTGCAGCCAACAAAGTTGTTCAGTGCTGGTATAGAAATGCACATGTTCATGTGCTGCTTATGGGTTTAGGGAAATACTCTTGCCTGTTGCTGGGGTTTGATTTTTAGCTTGTTTTGAAATATTTTTCCAGGATATATAATCTTGTTTCAGTTAGCATGTGATCTTGGGGATTGCCTCAGCATACACAGTAAGAATAAAACAGTCTGACAGTGGTCTGAGTATTCACTCTTATTATGAAACTACATAACCGCAGGTAAGTGCAGAGAAAAAGTGTCTAGGACAGGAAACTTAAATTTTACCCTACATATGACTCTATGTATGTATTTTATATATGCAGCTTGCTGAGGTGAGCAAGTCTGCAAAATCCAGGTTAGCTGCACTTCTCAGTATAGATATACCATGAATATACAACTTTTAATTACTAAGCTGCCTGCTGCTACTGCGTCTCTTGCTGGAAGTGACAATTTCTGATGGTAATAGTGTAGCATCCATTGTTAGATTGTTAAACCAGTTTCCAATGAAAGGAAAAACTTTGTTTAATATTTGCCCAAATATTAAAATTTTAAAAGTGGCAACTTTTTGGAAAGTGATAGTGAAATGGCTGTATTTAACATGAGCCCTGGCACAGTATCCAGAAATGTACAGCACTAGGCTAAGATTCAGGCTTTGTAAACTGATTAGTATTTTTGGACTGGAGCAGCAGTTTGCATGGCATTTCAGTCTTTTTTTATTTTAAATTAGATTAGCATTCTGTTTTTAATGTGTGCAACAAATTGTTCTGCTGCTAAGAGAATAAAGCAAGGCACCTAAACTCTGCAATATTAGTCTCCTAGACTATAAGGCCAGAAGGGACCAACATGATCATTTAGACTGGCAGCATCACCATCTCTGCTTTGCTCTGTCACCACCTATGAGGATATCCAACAAAAGTCCCTACTTCTAGTTGTCTCCACTCCCTGGTCTTTCTGTTGGTTTTAAGACATCAAGCTGGTAAACTGAGAATATGGTATGTATTGGGCGCAGGAATTGATTCCCTCTGTCCAGATGGAAGGCTCTAGGATCAGATGCAGTGTGACTGGGCAGATGTAAATGAAAGCAGACCTGGTGCACAAAACCTTTTTTTTTTATATGTGCAGTGAAATCTTGTTAAGAGTACCTGATTATAGAAGAACAATGGTAAAGAACCCCCCTCCATCACAGATTTCTCCTTTGTGCACCAGATGGTGGTAGTCTACTGGTCACATGGCTTGGGAAAGTGAAACTGGGATGTGCAGTATTTAATAGTATCCACTGCATTATGTTCCCAGAAGGCTTGCTATGTGGCTGTATGAGTCTTAACTCACCTTACAGTAGGGAGTGGGTTTGTTTTGTAAGGGGAAGGTCTTTTCTTAAACTTATAGAAATAGAAACAGTTAATTCACTCCCTTCCTCCTGGTATGCTGCAATATATTGTACAGCAGCCGTTCTCAAACTGTGAGTAAGGACCCCATTTTAATGGGGTTGCCAGGGCTGGCTTTGGACTTGTAGGGCCTGGGGCTGAAGACGGAATCTGAGGGCTTTAGCCCTAGGTTGGGGGGCTCAGGTTACAGGCCTCCCGCCTGGGCCTGAAATCCTGGAGCTTTGGCTTTGCCCTCTCTCTCCCCCCCCCGCCCCCTCCAGCCCAGGGCATGGGGTTTGGGCTTTGCTCCTCCCCACACCTGAGGCTTTGGACTTGATCAGGCCTGGGCTCAGTCCCCCCTTTAGGGGTCGTGTAGTACTTTTTGTTGTCAGAAGGGGGTCACGGTGCAATAAAGTTTGAGAACCCTTGTTGTACAGTATGTAAGATCCGTTGACAGAAGATGCCTGCAATTGCTGGGTGCAAATAGGTTCATTTAACCTGGCCTCCATTCAGAGAGCTTTCTCTTCACCACTTCTAAACATTCTGGCATTTGTTGCTTTATCTTTATTATTCCTGTGCACCATGTTATGAGAGGCAATGATTTGATACACTTGTTGCAGAACTAAGTGTACTGTGCTCAGCAACAGTGTTTCACAGCTCTCTAGTGTACTGTGAGATGCAGCCCTGTAGGTTTATCCTGAAGCAGCTGTTTTTGTTCTGTAAATGTTTCCATTGGGGGTGAGGAGGGGGCAAATGGAGCTGGTAGCTCTAGAGCCAGATTAGACCAGGCAGGTGAGAGTTTTGCCTGGGAAGCCCACCAAGTTTTAACAGTACTAGACCAGTGGAGGTAGAAGGGGGGAAGGGAGGATGAAGAGAAGTAAGACATTCTATTAGGATTTTCTTGTGGTACAAGAAACCTTCAGAATGTGAGTATCTCTGCATGTTGTTCTTACTACAGCCCTGTTTAAAGGAGTGTCTAATGCTTGCTGCATCAGCACAGCTGGCTGGTGTGTTGCAAAAGTGAGGTGGGGACACAAGGCCTTGGTGGAGGGGTCAAAGCATCTGTGTCCTTCTCCAGGAGAGAGAGAGGATCTATGGATTATTGGATTACCTCTTGTCAGATCATGGCAATACATGCTTCCTAAATCCCTCCGCATAGGGAGGGAGTGGTATGTAATAAGGGATGGCTTATTTTAGGCAAACTGATTTAAACAGCCTTTTTTTTTTTTTTTTTGCTCTGTTTCTGCTGGAAAAAAATGGAACATTTGTGTGGCAAATGGCAAGTTTTATCTTCCAAATATGTTTACTTTTAGTGTATTGCTGCACTCTTTTTGTGGGCAGAAGTTGCATGGCAGATCAAAACTGGACAGAGGTCTTACAGTAGGTATAGAGTAGCTTTGGTTTGTTTGTTTTTGCCTTGGAGGTAGAGGTTAAACATTGGCTTTTGTTGCCATTCTTCTTCTCTTCTCCCTCTCTCCCCTGTTATCCCTTTTCTTCAAACATATACTGGCTAACCATTGGCCTTAAAGCGGGACAATAAGTCCAGTGAAACTTATCAAGGTGTGACTTCAGGGCCTAGTTTGCAAATGGAAATCTTTAGTGTTGGCTCTTCTTTAATCTTAAACAGCTGTACAACTCTCAGAATGATTGAATTTATATTTGGGGGGATTATATCTTTTAGGGTGGGGCTTGCAGCCCTGTGAGAACCTATTGTTGATTCACCATTCAACTCCAACGGACTCTCTCTTGCATCTGTATTTTTCCTGTCTGCCATTTGCTCTGCTTGTGAAACAAATTGAACTTTCACCATCGCACCAAAATTGAAAGGAATTGAGGCTATTGCCTTGCAATGTAATGTAAAAAGTCCAGCACCTGGGACTGTCTTGGTGCATGGACAGCGTTCTGCAATGTCCAGGTTAGAATCTCTTTCCACACTCTTGTTTCCTGGTCTGGCAGGAGCTGAGATTGCTACGCAGGGAGTGAGTTCCTTCTCTTATGGGAGTGAGGTATAATGCCTCTTTCGGTTTCCTCACTGTATTGACTGTGTCTGGAGAGTGGAAGAAAGACCATTGCAATTTGAGGCTCTGAGACATACGAAGGATGGGTGATTTTAGGGCTCCAACAAAGAGAATCCCACAAGGAGAAGTATTTGACTTGCACAGGATATGTAAAACAACCTCCCTGTGTGCTGTGAAAGTGTAAGAACTATTTTTATGCTGTGTGTTCTACAGAACCCTGAATTAGCCATCCAGCTCTTTGCAGGTGTTGCAAATATAAAACCGAGGAGAGTTGGAAGATGGTGAAATGGCTTATAGAAGGCTGACTTGTAACAGAGGCTTATGGTGAGTACTCAGCGTACTTTGGAGTATTTTGTTAAAGAAAAGGCACTTTATAAAAATAATTATTGAAGAAATAATTGTAGTAGCTGATCTGCTCAGGTTTGAGTTCTTTGCAGAGACGCACCATACTTGGCAGTCTCACTTATTGCCTAGGAAGTGACGCTCAAACTCCTGCAGCTCTAATTGCAAACTGTTTTTTCTCTCCACCACAGTGTAATTGGGAACATTTCACCATGGGAGTGAATTTGGCAAGAGGAAAGCCCTCTGTTTGCTGCCCAAGTAAAGCAAACAAACAAATAAGGAAAACAAAAGAAGCTCCCTGCCTGCCCTTCCTTCCTCACTCTCCCCTCCATTTTTTGTAGTGAAATGGCTGGCACCACTATGCTATTCTGCAGGGAAGATAGACTGTCCTGTCTGGCATTCCACACAGATGGCCTGGAATAAGTCCACAGTGAGCAAGGGAGAAAATGCCACTCTCTCAGTCCTGCTCTCTTGATTATACAGAGCGAAGGCTAACGTAGAAAAGTATGTCAATTGAATCTACTTCATATTTCAAAAAAATACATGGCAGTTTTGTCTCTTGGGTTGTTATTAGCTTCTCTCCTAATTGTGTAAGAGAACCCCGGGCTTATGCACCAGATAAATAGCAGTGGGCTTGTTTGTGCTGATGGAGGAAGAGCTCCATCATGAAGTGCCTCACCACAGAGTGCCAATAGGTTATCTGAGTAAAAGGCAGGCTAAATGGGTTTAAAAGAGCCTCATGAAGAAAACCATTTTTCTGCCAATCACCTTTCTCCTCTCTAAACAGAAACAATTTGCCTCCACCTGTAAGAGCGATCAGGTTTCAGCCCCAGCTCAGCAAATACCAGCGCTGATCAGGCACTGAGGACAGCCAGTTGCTGTACTTCCAGAGTCAGTGAATTGTGTCCATGAAAAATCTGATTTCCTCTGTTCTGATGAGTTAGTTCCACAGATACCATGAACCTAGACTTTGGGTACCATCATGCATTAATGACTCCAGATCAAGCCCAAGCAAAATATATGGTAAACAGTGACTTTGAAAGTCCAGAACTCTAAATCAGTTTTAGGGTAGTGCATATTAAGAATAAGACACACTTCTTCTGCAGGCAATCAGGCATTCCCAGATTAGGTGCTCGTCTGGGTTGCTTTTAAGCGAAGCCTTCCACACACAAATTGGGTTTGCAACTTCTGGCTGTGTGCTGATCAAGTCTGTCGATAACATGAGAGTTGACAGTTTCTCCTTTCCTATAGCTTTTTATGTTTGTTCAGACACCATTAAGGAAGCAGAACACCCTACTTTTAATTGAAAGATGTGATAAGGATATTTTATATCTATCCAGCAGGCAAAGGCTGTGTCACGTATTGTTGTGGTAGTTAAAGGGGGAAGCTAAACTTTGTCAAGTGAAGTAGATTATAAAAAGAACACTGGCAGTGACCTGATGGGCGGATGCCACAACAGTCTTGGTGAGTAAATCTTTTAAAAATACTAGAACTTGACCCATAAAACCAGTTGAAATGACCGTTCTTTGTATGCATTTAGAATTTGTAAAATGTCCCCCATCCATACAAACACCTAAATAAAGTTATGGAGCTGGAGAGCAGCTTCATTGTATACTTAATGACTAGGCAAGTTTGAAATTGTGTTGTCTTCCCATAAAGTATTTTAAAAACAGAACGATGACCGCACTTTTCTCATAGGGAACAGTGGCGGCAGTAGGGTTGTGCTACCTAGATGGTTGCATAAGGCCCAACAACAGATGAGCTCACCCAGCCCGAGCACCATCCCACGTATCCCTGTTGCCAGAGGGCTGCAACAAAGAAAGTGTTCCCTAATATCCATCCCTCTCTTTCCCCTAGCATGCAAAATTGAACTGCGGCCCTACCTCCTGGTTCATATAGAAGAGCCCCTGGTGTGGTGGTGGCGGCAGACAGTGTCGTGTCATGGGTATGGAGGAACCTAGTCATAGGTGTGGAGATGGAACTAGATGTCTAAGTTGGCTGAAGCCCCGCCAAATTCTATGCCAAAAATATTAAAATTCTGCAAATTATTTGTTAAGAAATAAATGTGGAGGCTCCAGCACGACCGGGGGAAGCACAGGCAGCTGGCTGCGCAGAGATGGGAGATGACCCTGCAGCCCGTGCCTTCCTCTCCCCCCCGGGATATGGACTCAGTGGTGAGGTTGTGCCCCAATCCTGTCTCAGCATAAGATCTGGGCCTGTTCCAGAAACACCCCAGCACCCTATTCCTCTGCGCCAGGTGCATCGGGTGTGGGCAGGCAGGCTCAGCCCAGCAGAATCCAAGTGTGGAGGGGCTCAGTGTGGAGGGGTCCAGATGTGGGACGTAAGGGTTTTGTGTGGAGCAGTCTGGATGCAGGTGTCCCAGTGGGGGGTCTGAGTGCAGAGGGGGATCTGGATCCACAAGGGCTTGTTGTGGGATTCCAGGTGCAGGGGCAATGGGATTCTGCAGGGGGGGTCCAGGTGAAGATGGGCTTGGCAGGGGGGTCTGAGTGTTGGGGGAGTGGAGCATGGTGGGGTGGTTCAGGTGCAGAGGGTGGGGCTGCTTGGGGTGGGAGAGGTCTCGATGCAGGGGGTGGGGCTTGGTGGGGATGGGTCAGGTGCAGGGGCACTCTGGGTGGAGGGGCTGAGGCTCGGGGGAGTGGGGGTTCTGGGTGTGGAGGGCTTGTGGGGGGTTCTGAGTGTGTGAGGGGGTGAGGCTCCATGGGGGGCGGGTATGGGGCATGGGGGTTGAGTGGACAGGAGCCTCTCCCCACACAGTGACCCCTTCCCCTGCTGCTGATGGGTGATGGGGGCAGGAAGTGGGAGGGTGCGGCGCTTTCTGCAGCCGGGGGAGGTTTCTGGGGGTAGTCCCAGCTTCGGCTGCTCCTTGCAGGGGAAGAGGAAGTCTCCTCCTTCCCTACCCACAGCCCAGCTGGGATGAGCAGTTGAGCCGACTGCAGGGTAGAAACCACCAGGCAAGGCGTCATAGGTGTAGTTTGATGCTGTATTTTTGGGAGGGGGCGTGTGCACGTGCCAGTTGTCCGCTTCTCTCCCCCTGCGTGACTGGCCCTTACTGCTGCCTGGAGCCGTACCTCTGCTGCCAGCGTTGGATGGGATTGGCCTGCTTAATGGGGGAGCCCCAGCTACTGCTGAGGGGATGCCACATGCTGGGCTCCCCTCTTTCTCCCCTTTCTCTTGCCCCACCCCACCGGAGGCACTCACCATTGTAGTGGCACCAGGATGGTGGCCACGCAGGGCGCCCAGCACTCATAGAAGGGGAAGATGACCAGCACTAGGACCCAGGAGGCTGCTGCAGAGTCAGTGAGCCAGAGCAGCCACCCTCCCTCACCCGGCAGGAGAGGAGCTGCTCTATGCCACCTCTTCTGCTCTCTTCTCAGGCCCAGCTTGTGGGGAGAGGAGCCTAGGGAGCCAGAAACATGCCCAGGGAGAGAGACAGCATGGGAATGACTGAGCACCCTCCCTCCTGGCAGGCTGAGCAGAGCAAGTGTTGAGTAGCTCAGCACTTGCAGAAAAGAGCAGGGGCAGTGACGCTGCATGCCCCCTCTCCCCTCTTTGGGAGGGCAGTGCCCCTGTGCCCCCACAAACTACACCCATGGGTGTGTCCTGTTTTCCCTCCTCCATGGCAATTTACCTCTCTGCTGGCTGCTCTGGGCACTTGAAACAATGCACGTGTGCTGCTCGGGGGAGGGAGGGGAGGTGTGGCTGGTCTTGTAGCGTCCCTTTGCTCCCCACCAGAAAGTCATTTTTCTGCGGGGAAGCAAAGAAATCTGCAGAGGACATGAGTTCTGCAAGTGTGCAGTGGCACAGAATTTCCCCAGGAGTAAGAGCTTACACTTGGCCCTGCTCTAGATTTGTGAATGACATGAGTGATTGTACTGTTCCCCGTGTATGGTTAAGGCCCCAATAGAGTAAAGCATGTATCTACAGTTAAATGTGTTTCAGTGCATTGCTCTATTGGAGCATGGGGAGGTGGCAAAGCACTTTGGGAGGAAGTAATCTTCCTCTGCCTACAATAACACATTCTGGTGGTGGCAGATCTGAAGCATTATGTTGATTCTTTGGACAGCTGAATTTGAGTCAAGGTTGAGTGCTGTGACTTGGGGCAGTTAGAAATGTTTATATTTTGTTGGTGCTTCCTGTGGATAAGGACAAGTGCATGTCAAATATTTTAGCATTGTTTTAGGAAATTTATTTTAGGTATCGCTTTGTTTCAAAGCGGAAATTTACAAATAAACAAAAAGCCCCTAGCCCAGCAATTTATCTTAAAGCATTCGATTTTGCCATGCAGCGCCCCCATCTCCACCTTTGAATCTCTTAAATCCCTTTCGATACTGTTTTTATATACCTTCATGGGAGTAAGCGTCCTAAAAATCTCTCATGTTCACAGAAGCTTCTGTGCTGGTTATCTCTGTAAACTCATATGCAGTGTTGTTGTAGCGATGTCGGTCCCAGGAGATTGGAGAGACAAGGTGGGGTGAGGTAATATCTTTTATTGGACCAACTTTGATCACAGAGGGCCAGGGGTGAATGACCATGGGAACTGAACTATTCTTTCATGGCGGCTCCTCCAGGTCAAGGATACGATATATTGCCAGCATGGTGGAGCCAAAGATGCATTTCTGCCATCCATGCAGTGCCGGTTTTGTGGATGGAGAACTTCAGTTCTTGGAGCTACAAATTCAACAATTGTCATCAGCCATTTAAAAATAAGAAAGGAAAATATTTAAATATTAAAATGTTTATCATTATACTTCGGAACATCATACATTATTCAATGTTTTTTCCAAAGCACTTATGCACAATGATTATAGGACTTCTGCCTGGACGCACCTTACAGAACAGACTATAGAGACAACCAGTCTGTGCAGTCCAGGAACATTGCTGTAGTGCTTTGCCAGCTTTCCTTGTATAGTGCTTTGACCCTGGAACACTGCAGTACTCTTTGGCAGTACTGATTAGAAAAAAAGAAAGGGGGAAAAATAACCAGAATCTGAGAGAGAAAGGACAGAGCAGAGCTAAGAGGGTTCAGGCAATCACACTTAATGCAGGTCTTCTAACAAAATGTATAAAAGTTTGAAGAGAATCTACTGAAGTTTGATTGTATTACGATGTAAGTGGGTTACTAGACAATTTATTTACTGTATGTGAGTAAATAGAATAGAAATGGTGGGGCAGGATCACTTTGTGAAGAGTTACTGGAATACTCAGGTATTGTTCACTCCACTCAACCTAATCTTAAAATCCTGAGAGAGAATTGATAGCAAAATAATGATTCCTTGTATCACTGGTCAGGTATTAGACAGACAAGGTGGGTAAGGTAATGTATTTTATTGGACCAACTTCTGTTGGTGAGAGACAAGCTTTTGAGCTTACACAGAGCTGCTCTTCAGGTCTGGAGCATGTGTTAAGGGTGTCACAGCTAAATAGAAGGTAAAACAGATTGTTTAGCATAAGCAGTTGACACACATTTCAAGGGACTGTTCAAGGTGAAGTGGCCCATTAGCACATCTCCAGGGGGGTGTGTGTGTGTGAAGCAGCATTCAGATGTATGATCCTGGTCCAAACCACTGAAGGTAAAGGGAGCCTTTCTGTTGACTTCAGTGGGCTTTGGATTAGGCCCTCTGAATTTGAAAAGCCAGTTTTATTTTGCCTTGTAATAGCATTACATACATGTCTCATCAGCTCTCATTCCTGGATCTGTGCAGCTGTTTCTCAGAAGATCTCTTGGAGATTGCATGTGTTCTAAAGTAACATATTGAATATAAATTGGTGCCCCAGTTCTCTAGTTACCTGGCTAGCACAGTCTGGTACTTACGGCCAGTGTTGTGAGAGAGGACCCATATACACTATAACAGGAAGTGGTTTCCTTCAAAGTAAGTCCACAAATATCTTCCATGATTAAGGACTTATTTTACCCAATTTATAATAAAAACCTTGATGACAGTGTTACACTCAAATGTTTCATCCTTCACTCTCACAGGTCTTTTTGTTTAAGAATACAGACCCATTTCTTTGGGGAGAAAAAGCAGCTTTGGTGAGCCTTTCACGATAAAAATGTTTAAAAGGTATGTCAAACTTTGGACCTAACCAACTTCCCAAATACCCATTCTGAAATTATCTCTGTACTACCTGTGCATGAGGATGCACACATTTATCTGACCCTCCATTCTGCATGTCTTGCCCTGTAGTGGCTGTAGCATACAAAGAACTTAAGTCTAATACTACTATGCAAGTCTGAGTTTTTTTACTGGTTTCCACGTGTGTATACACCAGTACAGGCCATGTGGGGACTCTTATATCAAAGAATCATGTCCTAAATATAGTTAAGAAGAAAAATGTGGTAAAAATAAGGGGTTTGAAGAGCCAGGTGGCAATCAAAAAGAAGCTCTCCGAAGTAATCAGCCTTATGTACTAATTTGTTGTATTTCTTTTTACAGATAGTGTATTTCTCTATTTTGTTGCATAAAGTTCCACCAGAAGGTAGACTACCACTACCTATCCAACAGGATCCAACAACATATAAACTGAACACTTCTAACAAGAGAAAGTTAAGGGTAACCCTGGCTAGTGAGAATGCATCTGTTTATGAGCAAGTACATAGCATAGCTGCAGTTCATCTCCCCTTTCACTTGACTTGGCAGGCGAAGGGATGCTGGATTGAAAGAGCTGCATGGCTTGTTACAACAAGGATTGCTGCCCTAGCCTGATTCAAGCGATTAATATGAATATTTTTTTAGTGGGGTGAAGAGGAAGGAGATATTAGAAACTAGACTCCAGGTAATACCATTTTTGCAGTTATCAAACAGTGATTCTCTCCTGGTAATTACACTTAAAATCAAAAGAGGTTATGAAATACACAACAGGAAGAACAATTAAGACACTGGACAGGGAACTGAACATAAGAATGGCCATACTGGGTCAGAGCAAAGATCCATCTAGCCCAATATCCTGTCTTCTGGCATTGGCCACTGTCAGGTGCCCCAGAAGGAACGAACAGAACAGGTAATCATCAAGAGATCCATCCCCTGTCACCCATTCCCAGCTTCTGGCAGTGAGACTTGGGTTCTGTTCTTGGCTCTGCCACTGACCTGCTGGGTGAACTTTGGCAAGTCACTTCACCACCCTGTGCCTTAGTTTCCCTGTCAGTAAAGTAGGGAACCTCCTTTGTAAAATACTTATATAGCTGTTTTCATCAACTCTCATACAGCTAGGTGATGGTCACTATTGTTCATACTTCTAAGAATATCAGCTAGATAAGCAATTGATTGAATAAGAGTGCTTTGATATTAATGTGTGTGAGAAATAGCTAGACAGAGGAATGGATAGATGAGCTACTTTTTTCAGAAGGTACCGGTTATCTTGGTTTACTCTTCAAAAACAGAGTACTGCAGGGTGCAGCATATTGCAGAGGTTGGGATAAATGATACCACAAGTGCAGAAGGAAAATTCACTACACCAACAGGGTAGAAATCAATGGTTGGTAGGAACAGCAAGGACCATCAGCCAATTGATGGGTCCTTTGCGGCAGCCAGTTGGTTCTGTTTAGTGAGAGCAACATTTGTCCATCACACGAGACTTTCATCCAGCTTTGGACAGAATGATGCTGTGGTGATGGCAAAGATGTCCTTCAATTTAAGATTGATTCACTGAAGCTTAACTGCAATCTGCAAACCTTCTTAGGCTCAAGGTATGTCTAGTTTTCTGGAAGAAATTTTGCATTTATCTGTCATTTCTGGAGGAGCATGAAGTCTTGCAGGTTGTCTGCGTGTGTACGTGTGCGCGCTTGTCAGTCTCTCTCTCCGTTAATAGATTGACTAGACTACTTTTCTTCCTTTCATCCTGGCCTGGTCATGACACTTCATCCTATTGATGTTGCTTCATGAAATATGTTTATAAATGTGCATGCACAGACCTGCAAATCAGCAAAGAGCTTCAGGGTGGTAAACTAACCTGCTTCTGTCTTGTTCATGTTCCTTAGAGAGAATGAGTTAAGGGAATCAGCTCCTGTAACTTATAGGTTTTATTGTTTGAGGTATGAAATCTTTCACTTACTTACCATTATTTAATTGTTTAACCAAAATTAATTGCAATTGCAGTTTTAATCACACTGTTAAACAATAATAGAATGTCAATTTAAATTTATTATAAATTTTTAGGATGTGTTTCTACATTTTAATTTCAATTAAAACACAACACAAAGTATACAATGCTCACTTTATATTATTACTGTAAAAAAGAAATAAGATAGTATTTTTCAGTTCACCTCATACAGGTATTGTAGTGCAATCTCTTTATTGTGGAAGTGCTACTTACAAATATAAAATTATTTTTTTACATAACTTGCACTCAAAAACAAAACAATATAAAACTTTAGAGCCTACAAGTCCACTCAGTCCTACTTCTTGTTCAGCCAATGGCTAAGACAAACAAGTTTGTTTACATTTATGGAAGATAATGTTTATTTACCATGTCACTTTCAGGTGACATGGTAAATAAGAAGCTGATTGCATTATCTCCCATAAATTACATTTTTTTAAATAGTTTGACAGTCCTAATTTTTGTGTGGTGAAGCTAATTTTTTTTATTTGCCTGCAGAGTACTGCTAAACATGATTCTTTGTCAATAACTTACTCTGACCTTGAAATCACCTTGTTTTGCCAGTCTGTTGAATGGGGATGGCTTATCTACCTTTAAAAAAAAAAAAAAAATCTACACATGTATATGGGGTATAGAAGGAGAGGTAGTATCTCTGAAAGTGAGGGCAGTTTCACTCTGAGAGTATGTCTGCACTTCAGTTAGACACCCGTGGTTGGCCTGGGCCAGCTGACTTAGTTTCATGCTGTAGGGCTGGTTTAATTGCAGTGTAGAGTTTCGGCCTCAGGCTACAGCCTGAATTCTAGGACCCTGCAAGGTGGGAGAGCCCCAGAGCTTGGGCTGTAGCCCAGGGCGGCAAGTGTACACTGCAGTTAAGCAGCTCCACAGCCCAAGGAGGCTGGGCCAGCTGCAGGTTTTTCATTGCAGTGTGGACGTACTCTGAATGATTCTGTTTAATTGGTCCTCACTTTGCATCCAGCTCTCACCTCTGCCTCCAAGGAGCTGTTAAATGTGTGGCAGCGGCCACGCGTGGCAACACTGCTTCCGCTGCCTGTCTAAACCAGGTGGAGTGTAACTATGAGGGATAAGTGCCCATTCCCATCATGCTAAGGCTGCATCTACACTTGGAGCTAGGGTGGTATAGAACTAAAGAGCATCTGTCACTTTGAGAGTACCATCTCAAGTGACAGTTTCCTGGATCAAGAAATATCAAACAAAATATGAAAGGCAATCCAGGCTTTTGGAAGACTTTGCTATAGGATATTCAACTAGCATACTATCAGACTGCCAAAATCGGTGATGTACTGTGAAATAGTGATAGCATCCCTTTTATTATGGTGTGAAACATGAACAGTTTACTGAAGACACATCCACTTGAAAAATTTCACATGTCCTTTGAAAGAGCAAAACCAACCAGCATGAAGGCAATGATTATCAAAGCTCAGCTTAGAAGGACAGTCTTATCAGAGTGGATTGTGCTGGAGGACTCTTTTCATGTCTATGGTGAGCTGAAACTTGGAAAGTGGAGTAGGGGTTGTCAGTGTAAAGGTTTCAAAGACACCCCCCACCCCCAGTCAGAATATCAATATTTATGCTGCATAAGTTGAGAACTTCAAAGACACAGCCAAGGACAGATCTTATTGTATAGCAATTATCAATAAACGTTATGAACACTTTGAGAAAGACAGATGTGAAAAACTGATTGAAAAAAGGGCCAGCTGTCATACCAAGTCTTGAGTGCGAGCCTACACTCTGTGTTCTTGACCTTCCTCCTTGCAAACTGGAGTATACAGCCACAAGAGAACAGATGAGATGCTGCAATGTCCTCATCAGATATGAGAGCTTTTACTCTAATGGTTTCACATGGTGGCTGATCCCTGTAATTGAAGTAGGTCCTGTTCCCCTATGTCAGAACAGGTGTTCCCATTCTGTCAATTTAAAAGGGTGGGGTGGCATCTGGAGTCTATAAAGGTTCCCAATGAGAGATTCAGTGAGAAAGAGACATCATGATTCAGAAGAATCTGAGATCATGGATTGGTGGAGCAAAGGTAAAGGGCAGATAATCACTGCCTGGGAGAGACAGTCTGCAGAGAGCAGGAAGCTCTGCAGACCCTCACTTGAGTAATAATGAGGAATTGGCTAGGAGACCAGCAAAGGGGCTGGTTTGTGGACCTTCCTGAGCCAGTCCTGGAAGGGGGAAAAGGACTGAGTTGTTGGACAGTGTTTTAGGCAGATGAGTCATGGGACTGATCACTTTCAGGTGGATGGCCTGGATAATGGGGACCTGGAACAAGGGCAGAGAGCAATTGGGAACTGAGTGCTAGTCGACTCAAGCATGAGGAGCATGGAAAATTTCTGTACATTTCTATGTTTTACTGTGTGGAATTGGGGGAATGACTTTTACTATGAGGGTTTTATGGATTATTGTATATGTATGTGAATAAACTATGTCCAAAGATAGGATTTTGAGTAGACATCGGGGGAGACTTTTTTTGTTAATTGGTGAACTGAAGGGAAGCTGAGGCAAGCACACCTGACATGCCATGGCCTGCCACAAGAGAGCACTCCAGGTGGGGCCACCCTGTGACAAATGGCTATTCAGTGTCTTCAGAAATGGCTTGATGGTCTCAGTTCACTTCCTAGCTGACAGTTTCACTGATCATACAACCTACTACATTTGGTGCTTTTGTTGGCAAGTCTTGAGAAAGAACTGAGTGGTCTGCGAGACTAATCTTAATCCTTTGATCCTTGTTCAGGGATGGAACCCTTTCTAGGAATAACTGTTCCAAAAATGTGCGTGGAAGCTTGTCCTACTGAGGCCTATGAAATACCCTGTTCTGAGGATAGTTTACCAACTTAGTTTTCCAATTTAGGTGCTGTCAGTGCAGCACCCGCACCTTTCAGAAATGCTCTAGAATAAACTATACATCAGTCCTTTAATTCACTTAAGTTGTGTTTAAAGAGCAGGGTT